CACATTTGCCTAATGTATGAAAATACTAAACAATGATAAATAAAATCTTCGAAATTATAGGACCGCATGCGTACATCTAGACATTAGCTATTAATTTGAGCAATTATTTGCACAAATTCAAGCAATGATAACATCAAAATATATAAACGATTCAAATCATATCTTTAATTGCACTATATAATATTTGATGTTCTAATTTAAATAATTATATATCAATTCATATATTTTTAATATATTACAACAAATCCATTCCGTGCATCGCACGGGTGCAAATACTAGTTATATATAATAAATATATCAAGTGGTTTGTGGTTTACTGGTATCAGATTGTTCCCTTATGTGGGAGGTCTAAGTTTCAAGCCTCAGTTTATGTGTATAAAGATTTATTTTTTATTATTTCATTGATGTATACACAAGCCAGTATGCTAAAATTAGTAAAATAGCTTCTATGTAAAGAAGTTTACAAGCTATAGGTGTGAATCGCATATATGAAATATTGAAATTTCCATTTGAGACTGAAATCTTCCTCCTCGCAAGGCTACATGTTTTGAATCTTCCTTAAACACTTATATAAAAGCCCTGAAATTTGAGGTAGTTGGAAGCCGTCGCCGAATCGTGATGCCCGCCACCTGTTCGACGAAATGCTCAAATTGATGGTCGTTAGAATGCGTCCTCGAATATCGGTTTATTAACTGCTTTGCCAATGGAGAACTTGCTTTGGTCCATAAGAGCACATGTTATCTCCCCAACTCGTATTGGAATCTTTCCCGGAGTTGAGAAATCCAGTACAAGTGGTAGTGGAGTAACTTCTTCTTGTTCATCTTCCAGTACATTGTTAGTATGGAACAGAGGGAATAGAAGAGGAGAGAGAATTGCTTTGAAAGCACAATTTAATTCTACCAGAATTTATAGTAGAAGACTTCCCAAGAACCTTCGTTATCCGCGGCGGCCCAAGCTCCCGCCGGAGTTTGATGTTGGGTTTCACACTGTCTTTGAGAACGACCACCGGTCCCCTCCGGAACCAATTTCAGGTGAGACTTGTTCTGATAAGATTGCAGCCGATGACAATTCTCAAGAAAACCCAACTGAAAATGATGACGATGAGCTAAAAGAGGTGGGAGAAGAACAAGAAGGAAATGAAGTGCTAGTCTATAATGATGGAATTGAATGGGAACCCGAAGAGATTGAAGCAATTTCATCTCTTTTCAAAGGGAGGATTCCTCAGAAGCCCGGAAATTTGAATAGGAAAAGGCCTCTCCCTCTTCCTCTCCCTCACAAGCTTCGACCTCTTGGACTTCCCACACCAAAGAGATTCACTGCAACAAATGATGTTTCTTTTGCAAGAAAATCCACATCCAAGCGGCTATACAAGGAGCCAAGTTTCTTGCTTGGATTGGCTAAAGAAATTAAAGGTCTTTCACCGGAGGAGCCTGTATCTACAGTTCTTAGCAAGTGGGCTCCATTTCTTCGAAAAGGTTCCTTGTCACTGACCATCCGCGAGTTGGGTCATTTTGGTGTTCCCTCTCGAGCTCTGCAGACATTCTGTTGGGCACAGAAGCATCCCCATTTGTTCCCAGATGACCGGATTCTTGCCTCGACTATTGAGGTCTTGGCAAGGTCACATGAGCTGAAAGTTTCATTTGATTTGGATAAGTTCATCAGCTTGTCGAGCCGAAGTGTGTTTGAGGCAATGCTGAGGGGGTGCATTAAAGGAGGAAGCTTGAAACTTGCATTGAAGCTTCTCTCAGCTGCAAAGGATGCTAAAGGAATGGTGGATGCTGGGTTGTATGCTAAGATGATATTGAAATTTGGGAAGAATTCTGATAAAGACACAATTGTACTTCAGTTGCTAGAGGAGCTTGCAGAAAGAGATGATCTTGATTTGACACAGCAAGACTGCACAGCTATCATGAAAGTGTGTACGCGATTGAGGAAATTTGAATTGGTGGAGGGATTATATGACTGGTACAAGATGTCTGGGCGTGATCCGGCTGTAGTCATGTACACTACTCTGATTCACAGTCGTTACATGGCAAATAGATACCGGGAGGCTTTGACTGTTGTCTGGGAAATGGAAGCTGCAAATTGCCTTTTTGATCTTCCAGCTTATAGTGTAGTAATAAAGCTCTTTGTGGCTCTGAATGATATCTCAAGGGCTGCACGCTATTTCTCTAAACTTAAGGAGGCTGGTTTTTCTCCAACTTTTGACATATACCGGGACTTGATGAAGATTTATAGTTCTTCTGGGCGGCTAGCTAAGTGTCAGGAGATCTCCAGGGAGGCAGAGATGGCTGGGTACAAGTGGAACTACGAGATGAGTATTAAGCAGATAAGTTGAATTTGGTTGCTTAGTGTTTGTTTCTATTTCGTTTCCCTTAGACCAGGTTGCTTAGTGTTCATTGCGTGTTTTTCATGTATCTATGTGTTGCTTTTAGCTTCCTTTCAGCAACCAAAGAGCAAACTTTCCTTTGTCAGAGTAACAAAATAACCTGTTTGATAACTATGCATGGTCTTACATCACTTCATTAACATATGAGGGGGGTTTAGTTTTTTCCAGCATGGATGCTCAGCTATGTGTGCTTATGTAGCTTGGAATTTCAACCAGGGGGTCATCCATTATGTGACTGCTGTAAGTCAAGCAGTCTTAACCACAGAGTTCTTTGGTTATCTGGTTGTCATATCTTACAACCAATTGGTGATAAGTAGGTAGACATTAACCATTTAACCACATCCCTCCATGGTAAGCCACAACGCCACGTCTCGAATCGAGCAAGGGCTGAACTCGGTCAACCCGGCTGACGCCTAACAAATGGGCATGGAGGGTGTGAGTTAAAGGTTAAAACCATGGCTATTGTCATCATAGTTTTGTTCATCAATAACTTATATATAACTTTTTAAACTAAGAAGAAGAAGAAAGAAAGAAAGATTTAAGTGCAAATGATCCTCCATAACTAAATTCTGGTGTTGCTTTATGCTTATATCATGTTGGCAATCACTTTTTGTGGAACTGCCCCTCTAGTTTTCATTTCCCACTGACATTCATTCTATCCCCAATTAACTCTTCTTGCCCTTACTTTACTTTTGTTTCAGAATTTTGTTATCTCTGCCAATACTAAAGTTATATTTGTAGACTTCAGTATCTATATTCCAATGTCATAAACCTTTGTGTATAACATTTTGCTGCATTTTCAAATTTAAGCAAACCATTTACTACTTCTCTAGAATTTACACCATGTTCTTAGTTTTATCGATAGTTTAAACATGCATATAAAATGGGTTATCTGGACTTTGTTGTTGTCAGGACTCTATTGTTCATCTTTTACTGCCTACCAAAACCATAGTATTGCTGACTGGATTCCCCAGGAATGGGGAATCCAGTCATGATGTCATAAGAATCATACTCCATTCCTAAGAAAAATGTTTTTTTTTTTTTTTTTTTTGAAAGGAGAGAAGAATGTTCTTACTATTCAAGTATTATATACAGAATTTCATTGTTTCAAAAAAGATATATGAGCATTTGTAAGATATATATTAAATATTGGGAAATGGGGAGTTTGATCCCTGAGTTATAATGGCAGTGACGACTCAGTCTCTGAGTTGTGACCGTATCCATTTTTAGTCCCTCAGTTATGAATGAAGTGTCGCATTTGGTCCCCGGACGTTAAAACTGACGGAAAAGTTAAAAAATATTTAAAATTTTAGGGGTAAAGTAGGAAATTCACATTTTATTCAATTTCTTATATTGAAACCACTTTTGCAACATTATTTTTAACTTCCTAGCTATTCTATTTCAAGTTGTTCAATTCCAAAAGCAATTCAATAATCTTCGTATGACTTGTTAGTAACTTGAGTCTCGTATAAGGAACTTGTGACTCAATACAATCAAGAGAACACTTGATCATTGTCTTCAAGCATGTAAAACACATCATCATAAAAGTTTCTACATTAACTTGAGACAAATTCATCAAGGGAATAACTTGAGATTTTTAGTACGTAAAATTCTTTGGTAAGCTCTACATTAACTTAATCAAGAATCGTATATCCTAACAATATATAAAATGATAATATATATATATATATATATATATCCATCACATCCTCCGTCTTCTTAAAAATCAGAGTAATGAATGAGGAACCTAAAACTTAGTTATGACAATTCTAAAACTTTTGTAACTTTTAAAAACGATTATTGACTAAAGTACTGCATATGAAAAAATTTTACATACTAAAAATCTCAAGTTATTCCGTTGGTGAATTTATCATAAAAGCAACCTGAGAAATTTGACACCATTTTGTATCTCAAAAGTTCTAGTTTGATTACCTTTGTTGCTTAGTAAAGAAAAATTGAAAATTGATAGGATAGCGTGTTTCACACGTCTGAAGACAATGATCAAGTGTTTCTTTGTTTGTGCTAAGTCTTAAGTTTGTTATACGAGTGCTAGGTTCCTAACAAGTGATACTAAAGCTATTGATATGTTTTTAGAATTGAACAATCTTGAAATTAAAGGCTAAGAAGTGAAAAATAATGTTGTGAAAGTTGCTTTGATATAAGAAGGAAAATAAAATGTGAATTTCCTACTTTACCCCTCAAATTTTAAATATTACTTAATTTTTCCGTCAGTTTTAACGGTCGGGAACCAAATGCGCCGCTTTATTCATAAACGAGGGACTAAAAATGTATATAGTCATAACTCATGGATTGAGTCGGAACTTGGGTATAACTCAGGGACCAAAGATGCAATTTTTCCTTAAATATAATATATATTTGAGAAGAGAAAGAGAGAGGAATAACAATATTTATTTTACTTCAAACTCTTACAACTTGATATTCAACGCTAGAAATGTCATGCTATTTATAGAATTATAGGTAAAGGAAAAACTAATCACTAAAGCACTAACCCCATTACCACACCAACTTTAATTTATTTAGAGATCCATACAAGAAGAAGAAGCTTCAAGAGGTATAACCCCATGGACTCCCTCTTTGATTTTGACTCTGTGAAGCCTTTGATATTGAGTAAAAATGAGTAGAAATTTTATGAGATTTTGTTGTGTTTATGCTTGGAAGTGATCTAGTATTTGTCCTTGAGTTGTTGAGAATGTTTTAGACATGTTTGGATTAATTTTGCAGATGAAATGCCCATCTGGTGCACACACAGTGTGCACCATATTAGACCAGCGGCCCTAGCCGCGGCCCATCAGGAGGGCCGCCAGCTAGAGCCGGGGTTACCCGGGCCTAGGGCACGGCCCTAGGAGAGGGTCGTTGCCTAGGCCCGCAATGTAACGGGACTCATGGGGCGGCTCATGAGGAGTCCCGCCCTAGGTCCCTGAGTTTTAATCTGAGAAGTTTTTGTGCAGTGGTCGGACCCTTGTGGCTCAGCTACGTGTCGTTTTGGGCCAGGTGTCACGGGCCCTTGTGGCTCGGTACCTCGGGATCATCCTGACGCATATTTTGGCTTTGACCTAGTTGAATTTGGATAAAAAATGAGTATGTTATGGTGAATTTATTGAATGAATTGCTATGCAGTATATATATGTTGAGTTCACTGTGTATGAGAAATGCTTGGCTAAGTGATCTGATATTATTTTTGTATTGAGTAGAGAAGCATGGTCATTTGAGAATATGAATTATTATGAAAGCATGACTAACATGTGATATTTGATCAAAGAGAATTGAAGCATGTTTTGTTGATAGAAATGTATAGAAATTGCTATGTTGCAAACTGAGTATAATATGATATCCTTGAGAATTTCTATGGATTTTTACATGGTTTAGAAGCATGTTATAGAGTATTTTGCATCTCACATATTTCATATTTCAAAAATGCATAAGGGGCCAACGTGAGCTCAAGTATTACTTTCAAAAAGCCATAAGCATGTGATATATCATTCTTTGATGTATTGAGAAGTAGTAGAGTTGTTGCATGCATGAGATTGATGCATGAGAGATATATTTATGTATTATCTATATCGGTGAGGTTTTGGAGGATCTCGTTTGGATTATGTCCTCTCGGATGATTTTATGGACATTGCGGTCCCAATATATGTAACGCGGCCTATTCCCACGTTACGAGGTTGGAACTGTCCTCCAGACTTGGAATCCTGGTTAGGGGGTGTGCACACTAGAAGTTCGATACCTGATTCCACAGAGTATGAGTATAGAACCAAGAGAGTGGTTCGGTGGACGAGCAGAGTATTAGGTCGGCTAGACGTCGTGCCCAGATAGGTTTATTCACACTATGATGAAGTTCCTACCTCGTCCATTTAAAGAGAAAGTATGAGTCTTGAGACTCTAAAAGAGAATGAATGAGTCATTGCGACTCTAAGAAAGAGAGAAGTGAGTCATTGCGACTCTAGAGAAAGAAAGAAAGAAAGCAAGTCATTTATGACTCAATGAGACCTATTTTTACAATGAGTCTATGAGTATATATTTATAGTATTGCACGAGATTGCATACGAGTATAGTATTGCACGAGATTGCATGAGTATAGTATTGCACATGAGTATATATTTATAGTATTGCACGAGATTGCATACGAGTATAATATTGCACGAGATTGCATATGAGTATAGTATTGCACATGATTGCACATGAGTATATATTTATAGTATTGCACGAGATTGCATACGAGTATAGTATTGCACATGATTGCATATGAGTATAATATTGCATGTGATTGCATATGAGTATAATATTGCATAAGATTGCATATAACTATAGTATTGCACAAGATTGCATTTGAGTAGAGTATCTTATGAGATTGTATAATGAGAATGTTGATTTAAGATTGTTTATCGAGCATGATAGTTTAGTTACATTTGAAGCCTTGTATATCCAGTTTACGTGATGAGAACTTGAGAGCATGAGAATACCTGTTGTATGGTTTATTAGCATGATACTACCTGTAAGCATGAGTTGCTTGTTAAGTTTGTTGTGAAGTCTACATGTTGAAGTATCTAAGTTGTTAAGTCTTATATATCGAAGTATGCCTGTTGATATTATAGGTTGCAAGCATCTAGAAAGTATGTGATATGACTAAAGCTGTCTATGAGATGACTTTGTTGTATACGAGTGAAATCAAATGTTTTCAAAGTATATTCTATAGTACTTTACAGGGTTGAGTGTGGTTATACTTAGCTTCGTGCTAACGGGTGTTTTCCTATTTGTCTATGTGTTGCTTGTAAAACCCCTTTCAGGTGGGCCCAGCAGTGAGAAGTGATCGAGTTAGACTAGTCTTTTAGATTGAGATGTCTAAACTCTTATTTACTTATTTTTGTCGTTATCCATCGGATGTTAGACTTGTGATGCTTTGTTGACATTGATGATGTAGACTTTTGGGGTGACTTTTTCCCCCTTATGACTTTCAGTAATTAGTATGGATGTTAGATATTTATTTTATTTCTAGTTCTACCCCCTAGCCTGTGCAATCACCACGGAGTGGTGGTTGTGGCGGTGACATTCCCACTAGTTATCTTTTTAGCTATTAATTCCGCTGCTTA